AACACTGCATTATAAGCTGATGTCTACATCAGACACTGGTAAAGGCATTCTGGATCTGGTTGTACAAGAGAGAATAGTAAGTTTATAAAAGGACTTCTGCTAGAAAGAATGACGATGGGTTCAAATTAATGAAGTTTTCCTTCAGGGCTGAGACCATTTCCTTCCCTCATGTCTGGATTTTTTTCCAAACAGACTGCAACTTCTCTGGGCCATGTTTCTGGTTTTCTCTGATTTAACCTTGAATCTATCACATTGGCTCACATGAAGCAGGTGGTTCATAAAGATATGGTCAAAGGTGAGTTTTATGGAGTTCTCTGTAGCCAGAGCAATAATGCCTCTGTAGACCTTCAGAAGAGGTAAAGGAATTATCGACATAAACAGAATCCATGCCTCCACACCTTCAACACCAGGATTCTTCTCTTCAGAGAGCCATTCCTTTCTTCGAGGGGAACCACTGGTCACTATGACAATTGGATGAAACAACAACCTTCCACATCTTTGACTTGTTGATTAGAGGGCCAAGATTCCTCTTCTTTTGTGCTGTGCTGAATCTTTCTGAAATATCCTAAGCTGAACAGAGCAGTAGTAAGGACTAAAGCTAGGGCTTTAGTGGTAAATTTACATGATGCCAATATGCTTTTGGCCTCAAATATTTCCCTAGTCTTCCTTAAATTTTTATTTTTATATACTGTCTGGACATGTGCCTTTATTTTGATGAATATCTAAAATTCTATCATTAGAAACTCATCTCTTTGCATTAATAGGCTTCTGCTTTTTACTACACCCAAGACAGTTAGCAAAACAGACAAGGAGCTATCATCATCCACTTTAGAAGGAATTCATTTAAACTAATGTAGTTACTGACTCCTGGTGTTGAAATCTACCTATCTTGGTGTTCATCTCACAAGGAGGTACAGGCAACACTGGAATTTTAATTTCTTAGGAAATAGAAGGAGACAGTGATAATATTTAAGTAGTCACTTCCAAACCAGACTGTACATCAGAAATATAGGAGTAATTGTTTTTATCTATAAAATCTTGAGTTCCAACCCATGAGTTTAAGTCATGAAGGCTCAAAGAGGCTCACAAGACACAGCAAAGCTTAGCTGAGCTTGGGCAGGTAGAGCTGGTAAGCCATGGTGGTGGTGGTGGGGTGTTTACTTTATCAGAAGATGGCCTAAGGATGTTGAGTGGTTGAGAATCAGAGGAGAGAGATAGTTTACACTGGATTCCAGAAAGGAGAGATTACCTCAAGCTTTCCTTTTTGCTACAGAAGAAAAGCTGCCTTACTTTATAACTATGCTTGGGGATGTTTCTTCTAAAAGTGAATGGTCAGTTGCAAAGAGTTGAGAGAAAAATCAACAGTTCAATAAAGGTAAAGGTATAGTCTAGAAAATATTTTAATTTCAAACATGGTACCATTGGGTCTAGTTAGAACACAGAACAGTGTAGGGTATATAGCTGTATTTATAGGGCTTTAGAGTGCATGTGTGTGCCATGTATGGAGCATGTGTTTTTGTGCAAGAAGGAGTAAAGAAAATGTTGGATATGTGGGTTTAGGCCAGACAGCAAGGGGACTTTTTATGACATGCCAAGCAACTTGGACTTTACCCTACATCAGGGGGGAAGTCACAGGATATACGAAACGGGGCATGAAACACTGGACATCGATTTGTGTTTTAGAAAGATAACACTGGTGACAATGAGGAGAATGAATTGGAGAGACAGGAAACAAAAATAGGAAAGGCAGTTTAAGAGCTACAACAAGGCAAGGGCTTAAACTATGTGGTGGCAGAATCTGCGTGGATTTGAGGGGAAAAACAGAATCTGCAGACTGTGAGATTAAAAACAAGAGAATAAATTCCTGGCTTTCCTGTTTGCATGATTATTCTAACATTAACACCCAGTAAAGGAGAAAATTTAAGTGTAGAATTCAATTTAAGAAATATTGAGTCTGATAAGCTTATAGGACATTTGGATGAAGAAACTTGATGGCTGACCAAAATAAGAGGAAGTTCCAGGATAGAAATCTGCAAACACCAGCCAGGAATGAGACAAAGAGATGAGCCTCTGATGGAAACAGAGAGACAGAGAACGGATAAGGAGGATAAAAGCAGAGAAACAACAAAAACAGTGGTAGAGGGTATTTGAGAAAGAAATTAAATATTATAAGAAAGACTTTTTATTTGAAGGAAATTAGAATATTTACAGACTGAACTGGAATTATACTAGGGAGAGAAGGCTGATTGCTCAGAAAGTTCTTGAGGCAGTAAGAAGAGATGTGAACCAAAATCCAGGTGGAAGGATTCCTTGATGTGCTAACTTATTGGAGAATGTATGATGGCATTCATTTAGTTACTGTTTCCTTTCCTCTAAAGACTTTTTATTTTATTTACAGATTATATGGACCTCTTGCAATCTCTTTTCCATCCTCAATCCGCTGGTAAATGATGAAAAGTAATAAACATGGAACATATGGAACTAAACTATGAATACAGCTTTTAAAAGCATTTATTAGAAGGTTCATGGAAAGCAATTTTGAATCTGTGTTAAAATGACATTTGTGGGTGGTATGTTTCTAAGTAGTTTGTGTGTGTGATAGAGAGAATTCAAGATGCATACATGTCTGTAACATTTTAAATTTGGATGTGTTTATACTACACGATTGTACACGCACAAAATTTGTAAGGAATTATGTTTGTGTGCGTTGAATGATGATGAACACTCAAAAATTTTATATAGTTAGAAAAATGACATAAATTTTTTCAATACTGCTGACCTAGAGATTTCAAGTGTTCTTATTAACCTGAGAAACACAAGGTATCAAAAATTAATACTGCTTCTTTTTAGTAACTTAACTGATATAACAAATGACAATGCTTTACTATAATTATTTTAAATCAAGAGAAAACTTGTTCCTTAAATATGCAAATAAATGGAACAAGAAGAGGAAATAAATATATGTTGTCATTTTAAATCACCTCTACTTGCTTGCTTTGTGCTATCCTTATTAACAAAATGCAGGTTAAAGTCCGTACCTGACTTCATGCCCTACAGCAACACATTCCACTGAAATGTTTTTCACTGTTCTTTATAGAACAAGTCTCAACATTTCAAAGATTAGAAAAATGATGTTATGTTTCTGTAGTTTCCTTTAATACCTGTATTTGAAGAGAGATGAAAAAACTTGGATTATATTTCTAGTACCTCTTAAGAAAGTTGTAACGTTCCAGGGACTGGTTTTCAATGTCAAATCCACCTTTATCTAAAATCCCTGAACTAGAGTTGATGGCCCCTCAGAATAACTACAAAGCATGATGGAAGAATACTCTGAATGCTTAAATGTTTAAAAATATATTACAGTAAAGGACATTTTGCCATTAGTCCCTCTCAAGCTACTCCCCCTGGCTTGGAACACATTTATCTTATTGTTCTTGCCACTTTCTGAAGCAACTTTTGAAGTCCTCTTTCATGGATGGGTGTCTTTATTCGCTCTGTTGTGGCTGCCTCGACATCCTCAAAACATTTACCTTTCATGGTCATTTTGACTCTGTGGAGAAGTCGTGTGGTGCAATTCCAGGGAACAAGTGGATGAGAACACATCAGAGCGTTTCACAAGCCTGCCTTTGTGTTGGATGGCATGTGGCAGCAGTATCCACCATACTTTCTATCACACCTTGTAAAGACAGGAAAGCAGGTGTCCAGAATCTCTTCAGAAAGTGGCAAGAAGGATGGGATAAGAGTGTTTGAAGCAAGGGAGAGTCGTTTTGAGGAAGATTAATGGCAATGTATCTTTTACTGGAATAAATTTTTAAAATTTAAACATGTGTCATATATTTTGATTATAACACATATCTGGGAAGCACCCAACACAAGTTAGACAACAACCTAATGATGTTCATCCTTTGTAGGAAGTGGGATGGGGAGACTATTTTTCTCTAATCTCTGATCTAGAGTAAGTGCCCCAGGCTGGACCTGGACTAGGTTTCTTCCAGTGTGAAGAACAGGACCCGGAGAAATGTCGACCTCAAAGGAGCACAGTTTTAAATATTTTAACTTCTTTGTAAAAATACCTGAAAATCAGCGACCATTTTTGTTTTGTTTTAAAAGCTGTTCAGACTCTAAGATTCAATTGTAACTCCTCCCCTCAAGTTTAGTTTAGTAAACTAAACTTCATGAACGGGCACACACTTGGCTCTGGGTAAAGGCTGGGGGGAAGTCTCCTGAAGGTCTCACAGCAGTGCGGCAGCCCTCTCTCATTTCCCCCACTCGGTGCAAAAGAAGCCAGGCACCTAGGGGACTCCATCTGCCCTGCAGTTAGAGCGGCTGCTCCTCTAGCTAATTCTCCCCTTGAGGCCTCTAAGACCAAGAAAAGGGAAAGAAAACACTGGCCGAAGTGCACATTCTTTGAGCCGAGGACGTTACAACAATAAGAGGAAAGCAGAAGGGAAGGAAGAATCCCCCTCTGCCAAGTATTTAAGAGGCGCTTGCTTTTTCTGTCTACTATGGAAAGAGAGAGCAGCGCTGCTTCCTGGGGCAAGACATGGGGACGTTCTTCACACCTTTGGGTTGAAACATAAACATTTCAGAATCTCTCGCAAAGCCACCAGGCATCGCGGTGGGACCCGCTGACTGCTGCTCTGCACTGGATCGCGGCGCGGCACCTGTCTGAGGCAGGGGAAGTTGGGCTGAGGGACTCGGGGTCTCTGGACCACCCACCAAGACTCCTTTGAGCGTCCCTAAAACCGAAGTGCCCACACAAGTGACGCTGAAGGGAGGGTGCTACTTTGGAAGATTCTTGAGAAAATAAAACCACCTTGTGTGGACTCCACTTCCCCACACACAGTGAGTGTGAGTGTGTGTGTGTGTCCAAGCAGCTCCGCAGGGCTGGAGCCCGGGTCCACGTGGAACCGCAGCACAGAATCCGCTGCCTGTTCCCCAGCCCAGCAGATCCCTCCCTCACGCGCCCAGGAGCCACGCAGAGCCAGCGCCGGACTTACCCTGACTGAGCGCTAACAGCAGCCACAGAGGCAGAGCCCCCGCCTGTTCTGCACGCATCCTGGGTCAGGCCCGGGGAAGCGAAGTGCTCTGAGTTTGCAGGGAACACGCTGCTCCGAAAGAGATGACGGCAAGCAGACGCCTGAAGCTGTCGGGAGGTCTCCCACCCTGCCTAGTGAGAGCTGGGAAAAGTTGCTAGCAGCTCCTGCAGGGCTAGGCCCGCCCCTCCCGCAGAGCAATAAAACGGGATCTGCCTGTCACGCCCCGCGGAGCCCAGCCAGGCAACCCGCGGCTGCACCTTTGCTGCACCACACCCCAAGAGCAGCACCTGACTGCCCCGCCCCGCCCCACCCCGCCCAGCCCAGGCTTCCTGTAGACCAAGGGAATGGGGACAGTGTGCCGGAAGACCGACCAGGGAGCGCTGGACGGGTCACGACCCGAGTCTCCTGGAGAACCGCAGCCCCTCCAGCCCTCTGAGGCTCTTGGCCTGAAAGTAGGGGTGGGGGTGAGGGGCAAAACAGCAGTGCATTGGTTTCCCTGCCTACCCCGGGAGGGTGGAGAAAGGAACAAAAATAGGTGCAGAATGACCAGGTTAGAAACTCATATGGGAAGATTTTCTCTCAGGTTATGATTATCCGAGGTGCTATTTAAGCAAGGCCTGCTGCAAAAGCTCTGTAAAGGTGTGTGTGTGTAAAGAGGGGGGAAAGAGAGAACCAAAAGGGAGAGCAAAAGGAGCTGAATTGATTACTGAATTTCAGGGATTTATTTCAAGACAAGCGGGAAGGGTGAGAACCCTTATATGACCTCATGAGCCTTCATCTTCGTCTGTTATGACAAAGTGACCGTTTTCTTCCATTGTTTCAATCTGCTTTGGAAAGAAAGCATCTTATAAGTATATCTAAGATATTTGACTTACAAACCTAAGAAATAGAAAATTCACTTTTCATTTTTTTCTGAATCTGATTTTTCCTCCAAAAGTTCACCCACAAATTCCCAGCACAGAATTCTTCCAGTGACCACTTTCAGTGCAGTAATCACATGTTCTCATAAATTAAGGAGTTATTTATGCAATCATGATTATTTGCACCATTCCAAATCTTGAAGGAGCACTGCTACCAGCAGAATGGTATGCCTGGGATAGGCCACTAGTGCACAAAGTGGTTCCAGGTGGGAAGGACTTAATTGATCGGTGAAAATCAAATGCTTTTTAAAAAAAATTAATCATATGTAGAACTGAAGTCTTGAATTCTTGAAGTATTAAACTGACATCTATCAGATGTTACTGTTTATGGTCAGGACTATAAATTCATTCCTATTTTCTTACATGACACTTATTAACTCTTCTTAGGAGCTCTGACAATGCTTGAAGGTATTTTTTCTGACCTGTCTGTGGCACTCACTTGCTTACTAAAACATCAGTTATACCTGAGAGTTCTTAAGTGGCCGCTCACTAACCCTGACACATATCCTCTGCCCTGCACAGATTTCTTGTGGGAAGTGAGCCAGGTTTCAGGGAGATGAATATCTGTCTGTTTCCATCTGACTCATGAAATGTGAGTAAGTGTTTGGAACAGACCCTTGTTTGGGAGACAGAATAGTTCACTTAATGTGCTTTGTCTCTGGATGCTGGAAAGAAAAATGAAACTTTCTTTGCGTTTGTTCTCAGAACTGGACAAATTAATATTACACTACCAAGAGGTACAGAGTAGATCAAGAGCTCTATTTTCTAAGAGCAAGCCAAAATTCTAAGGAAAAAAAGAGCAAGCTCTTGCCTCACATGAATTTAAAGAACATAAAGGGTTCTGGAGACAAAACAGCTTGAAATCCTCTGCCTCATTCCTCCTAGGAGGTCCTCCTACCTAGGTGTAGTTGTGCTGGACGTCACACTGTGAGCAGGAAATAAGCAAGTCAGCGTTTTCTTAGCTCTCATCTCAGGAGTCCTGTACACCTCTCAGACTTTTAAGAACTTTTGTGTCTGTGGAATATTCCTATTGATGCTTACCATTAAGAAATTAGAATAGATCATTTTCCAGACAACTTATGATCAATTTTTGCATAACAATAAGCCTATTACATGTTAACCTAGATACCATTCATTTTATGAGTTTTTTATTCCTAAAATAAAGAAGTGGAATTGTTGTACTTTTTATCAATTTTTCTGATACCTGCCTTTACAAATACACAATTTGATTCCCATACCTACTTCTGCCAATCCAGTTCTTGGGATAGGGTAGTTTTGGTTGAATCATGGATTAATAGGGTAACACTTAAGTAGGCAGGTGGAAAAATGAGAGACAATTTTTGGATAATACTCTGATACTACACCAAAACTCAACAAGTGGTAGTTTCATAAAGTCTAGTAGAAATGTGAAATCTGAAACCATATCAATACCTTTCATACTTTGTAGCATTCAAATTTTTTGGTCTAATGACCTCCCTCTGCCATACCTAAAGGTGACCCACATCTGTTATTTTTTCTTGCTGACAGGGAAGAAATGAAACACAATGAAAAATGCAAATAATGCCTCTGCGTTATTAGGAAAGTAATACTCAGCACTTGTGAAGTCTTGAGACACCCAGAATCCATACTCTGAAACCACTTAGGAATGGAAGTGGATCCTTGTCTCTTCCCTCTTTTAGCTCTAGGCAAGAGTATTTTGGGGCAGAAGGTTCAGATGACTTTTTCCCAGGGCTCTCTTCTGATCATTCTGATTGCTTTTACCTCCATGGCCTGCTCTTCTTTACCCGCTTCATTCCCTCATATACAGTCACCTAAACCAGAAGCCTCTGCTTTCCTCCCTAGGGCCACCACTAGCCCACCCTGCTACCACAGCAACTCTATGCTTTACCATGTTGTCTGTGCACGATTTTCTGTTCTCTTCTGATCATTCACCATGATGACGTCTCATACATACTATCTCTATGGTTTTTCTTATTTCTAGTATATCCTTTATACTTGTAATCACAACTTTCTTTCTAAAATACATGCTTGATCTACCAAAAAATCTTTGTATATCTGTATGATAAATTGGGCATTTAAGGTCCCAGTTGAGCCCCAGCCAACTTCCATATTCTGCTTCACTAATTTTCTGTAGAGCAGACAATAGTTAGGCCAAATTCACCTATTCACTAGTCTGCCTCTCCCATTTTTTTTTCCTAATTCCATAGCTATTTTTCTACTTATGGCTTTTTCGCGTAAATGCTGAATCTCTTAAATCCTTTCTGTTTATACCACAAGAGTCTATTCCATACCTGGTAAATTCCTAGTAGTTATTGTATTGAAATGAATTTCTTAACAGTTCCACATTCTTCCTAAAGCTCTGAGAAGGATTATGAATGTAAAATTCTATGTAAATCCTAGAAAGTTTGAAATGAAGTAACCAGTGACTCCTCAAATGTTACTACATGAATCTAAGTCATGACAGAGTGAAGTTAGAATCCTTTGAACTTGACTCACCAACAGTTCTCCAGGAAATGAGTCATGCATAATGTCTCAAAAAGAAAAAGAATAAACAAGACACTTCCAACATAAAAACAAACAAAATGGAAAGACAAAAATAATACAGTTCTATGCTCCCCACCTTGACCCATCAGTACACTTAGAGATTTTTTTCATACTTCTAGCTCTACTAGAGCTGATGTTCTTATTTACTTTTTGTATAGAAGATATTCCACATAATCCATGGGTCTTTCTCAGACTGTCCTTTACAAGTCATTGAGCAGACGAACAACCCTGCCTTGTGGTCACTGAGCTAAACACCTGACCTAGCCTGGAACAGATTCTTCCTTTCAGGGATTTATATGCAGGATGTAGGGGTTCTGGAGTCTTTGGACCACAAGAACTAGGAATTTATGTTCACTTTGGAAACCGTTTTAGTTAATAAATACAGAAAAAAGCAATCCATAATTATTCAGAGAAAAGAGAGATTAGAGAGACCAAGAAATGGAGCTGGTAGTAGGGAAGGGGTCTCTTTAGTTCTTTGTCCTCTATTTTCTGTTTTCAGTCATCTGGAAGATCTAGCTTTCCTTTCTACCTTAAATGTCATGAAATACCCCTGTGCCCTCCTATCTTCTCTTTCTTAAGATTTGAGCAGGTTTCTATTCCTTGTACTAGACTACCTTTAAGATGAATATCTTACTTTCTCATGAGAAACCCTTGAAGATTGTAAACATGTCTCATTAACTTCTAAAACTCATAGTTTCTAAGACAGGGACCAATACCACATCAATGCTCAGTCAATGTTCATTACTAATGAATAATATATTTGTTAATTATATTTGTTAATACATTTGTTCAACTAATGTCTAATGTTTTACTTTAAGATGAACCAGAGAAAAGAAGTTTATATCTTACAATATGGAAAATCTTAATAAAAGGAAAACATTGTGCATATGGTATTTAGATTTTTTAAAAAAGAAATGTGTCTTATGATGGATCACCACTGCTTATGGCTATCTGTTACTCTGTAGTCTCTGGAAAATTTGGATATTTCTCTTAGACATCAGTTACTTTTCAAGCAGGAAAAAAATGATTTTCACTTAAACTACAAAGAGTGGTTAACTGAAAAGATATGAAGAAATTTCATAGAACCTGAAGACATGAATTATAGTGAAATAGGAAAAATGTAACTCCCAACCTGTTAGATATCAAATGTCTGAGATTGTGGTCTTGCAACTTCGAGGAATAGAGTCTGGAAACAAAAGAGGAAGTTAGGAGAGTTTTAATGGAAATAAAGGAAAGAAGAATAGCTCCTGGATTTCAAGCAGAAGTTCCAAATGAGTGGCAACCAAGACCCTTTGTCAGGGGTAATGTATACGTGGACCAAATTATAATCATCCTAAAGAACTACAAGTACTATATAGCTGCTTAGCTAATATTGATTTAATAGAGAAAGAGTCATGTACCAAGTGTATATGAAAAGAGCAAAGGCATTTTTAGGAAGGGATGGGTCCAGATGTTCTGGTATCCACCTGGGTGTTTGATGCCTGTCTGGACTTTCTGGACCAGGTGGTGCTAGTTACAGTCTCAATTTACTGTTTATCTTGCACATCTTAGCTGCCTATAATAGTAGCATGGTTCTGGCATCTAAAATGAAGAAGGAACAAGAAGAACACAATTCACTCTGTACAACTTTTAGGAATTGGGTGAATTCTTGGCTTTGACTCTCTGTGTACCTGCTCTAGTCTCCTCTCTATAGAACAGCTTAGTTCCTCTTCAGTTACTCATAGTTCCTGTT